AACTTGTCTTTCCTAGCATGGTAGACCATACGATTTTCTGATTCAAAATGGCCAATATCAGTCTATTTCAGCTGACTAGTGCCTAGGACATTCATCTTTATGTGTTCCATTTCAGTTTTGATGACTTCCAATTTTCCTATATTCGTACTTCATACATTCCATGTTCCAATTATTAATGGATGTTTTCAACTGTTTCTTCTCATTTTGAGTCATGCCACATGAGCAAATGAAGGTCTCGAAAGCTTTACTCCACCCATGTCATTAAGGCTGACTCTACTATGAGGAGGCAGCTCTTCTCCATTGTATTTTTAGTGCTTTCCAACTGGATGGGCTCTTCCGGCACTATGTCAGACAGTGAGTGTTCCATTGTTATTCATAAGGTTTTCATTAGCCTTTTTTTTTTTTTAGAAGTAGTAACCTGATCCTTTTTCCTATCTGTCTTTATCTGCAAGGTCCACTGAAACCTACCCATCATGGGTGACCCTGCTGGTTTTTGAAATACCAGTGGCATAGTATCCAGCATCATAGCAACACGCAAGCCACCACAATATCACAAACTGACAGATGAATGGCTTAGTTAACCTTGGTAGGCATTACATGGAAAGATAAGGGAACTTACTGGAAAGAAGTGAGATTCTGAGATATAGGATGAGGGCTTTTGGGCAGAGAAGGACAAGTGTGATTTGTCTCCTTTCTCTTTTATGTGTCCAAAATGCTAACAACAGAGGCTACCATTGTGCTTCTGACATAACATCATTTTTTGGGAGAATTAGTGAGTCACCTGGTTGGCAGGTTAATTAGATTAGACCATTCCTATTAATCCAAAGTGACAGTGGGATGATTTTCCTCTTAGGAATAGTCACATTTTTTAGGATGAATTTGCCTTACATGCCCATTTCCCTGCCAGATTTTACTGCCAGTATCTCTATATTTATCTTCATAGAATGACTATTCATGCAGATTATATACCACCGAAAGCTATTTATGACCAAGAAATTCATTAAATATAAAAAAAAATGGCAACAATTGCCTTCTATCCACAGAATTTGCTGTTTTTGTTAGGTGTCATCGAGTTCGTTCCAACTTGTCATGACCCTCTATGTATAACAGAACAAAATGTTGCTCCATCCTGTGTCATTCTCACAATTATAAGTATGTTTGAGCCCATATTTGCAGCCACTGTGCCAATCCATCTCCTTGAGGGGCTTCCTTTTTTCCACTGACCCTTTAGTTTACCAAGTATGATGCCCTTCTCCAGGATTGGTCCCTCCTGATAACATGTCCAAAGTAAACAAGACGAAGTCTTGCCATCTTCACTTCTAAGGAAGTGTTCTCTAAGATATGTGATATGCTTTAAAACAGCAGCCACTATATGATGTCATCCTTCTTCTATTAAGAATGTACATGCATGTGAACTAAGGGAATGCAGTGGCCATGGCTCCTATGGTGACCAAGAAGTAAGTCTTGCAGTCCTTCAAGTATAGAGTGTAATTGACCAAGGGCTTTAGCTGTTGAACTCTGAAATCCATTTCCTATATATGCACCAAGGCTGCTCCCAAACAATGACTTAGCATGGCAGGGCTACTAAGGCAGACCTGGCCCTATTAGACTCTGGACTATTTTGGTTGGCTCAAGAACTTCCTCCTGACCTTGGTCTACTTCCATTAGACTGCACATGGTCTAGGATTTTTTCACCCATCCTTCCTTACCTCTCCTCTTCCCTTGAAGTCAGACTTGTATCATGATCTGATGTCATTCCTTGCCTTTTCTGACTTCCTCTCTATTTTCTCTTGTACAGGGGTTTCACCTAATAAAATCCTAGCACATTTAATTACATCTTGGTGTTTTCTCCTCAGAGGACTCAGATTAAAACAGTCTGTTTTACTATTGCCCAAAATCACCCACTATACTTTTATTTCCTGCCCCTGGTGGACAGTGGATTTGGAAGTCTGTGTGCCCAAGGAGGAATGCTTCCCCAAAGGAACATCCTCATTGTTCTGATCAACTGAAATAGGATTCTTACCCTTGGTTGTTTTGGGATACTCACTCAGTGATATAACAATGGTCACTCTACTGGACCAAATGATTGCTCCCAATCTCCAGACAAAAATTATCTGTGCTACAAAATGGAGTCAAGAAGAACTATCTTTGGGATGCAGGGAATTAGCTGTTTATCTCTTAGTGCTCCTTTAACACATTTAGAAAAAATGTGGCCACCCAATAAAGACATGAGACCAAAGTCTCAGATCTCACTAGAATGAAAGTTTGAGACAACTTACCAGTAAATTTTCCTGTTCAGCTGAGATTTTGGGAGGGAGTAAATGGATCAGAATCATGAAAGAAGGCAGGTAGAGAGTGGTTTGTATTTGTAATCATAGTAATAGGTAGTTATAATAGTGGTTAGAGTTTCAACAATCTCAACTATTAGATTCTTACTACTTTACTGCCTTTTTTAGACACAAAGTTGACTGTTAATATAGGAATCTATAGAATATAACTTTGGGAATACTACAAGGCCTACTATCCAGGAATGCCTCTGCGCAGGTTTTGTTCTGTGAAAGACACCAAGACTTTTCATTTTCTATACAGAACATTAAGTTCAAGAGCTTTTTTTTGCATTCAGAGAACACCCATAATTAATTTATGTAGGGAAGAGTTAACATAGTAGACCAGTTATCCTTTGAAAGTTCTGCTTACAAGATTGGCTTTGGCAAGTGTCTCGGAATCTGGATTTTGAAAGAGCTCCCACCATTCACAGAAATAATATAGTTCAATATGCTTAAGCTGTTCATACAATGTGGTTCATGCTGAACACTGGCTTTTCTTCTGAGAGTCTGGAGTTTTGGTATGTGCTAAGCAGAGGCTGTGTATATGAACAGTTCTCAATCATAATCTAAGTTTTTAAAGAACTTCCCTGGTTGACAACATTTCTGATGTTTCACAAGGTGTTGCTCAGGGAATTTGGTGCATCCTTTGTGACTCCACTAGGAGAGGACTCTTGGAAGCTTGCACCTGGTTTCCTCTGGCCCATTCCATGTGCCTTTTCCCTTTGCTGATTTTGTTTGTTATCCTTTTGCTGAAATAAATAATAGCTGTGAGTTTGACTATATGCTGAGCCCTGTGAATTCTTCCAGTGAATCATCAAGCCTGAGTGGTGCCTTGAGTATCCCTAACACAGTTGTATTGTGTTTAATGTTTAATTTACTTAACTCATATATCTAAAAGACACACATGGAAAACATTTTCTGTTGAGAAGTTGAACATCATCACTTATAATCTGTGTAATCAAATTCCTTTAGGAATTTATACTACTGTTACAAATTAGTCTGACAGATTCTTTAGCATACTTCAAAACACCAATAACAGATGAAACATTCCCAATGCAGTGATTAAAAATTTACTGCTAAACTTCCATTTTTATATATTCTGAAACATCAAGGGCACATGTTTAATTAAATCTTTAGGTTAGATTTCTTTGTCTTCCTAAGATAATTACTGTCCTTACTTTATTTTCTTCCTATAGTTTTAGTAATATTATTTAAACGTGATTATGCAGTTGAGATAACCTCTCCAAATACAATATAATATGAACATAGTGTTTCTGGTGTTTCCCTCTGGAACGATATATTTTCTGGTTTCAACTCTTTGGCATCAAATAACCAATTTTCTTCCACTGTAACACAACAACTTGATCTGTTAATGTTATTTTAAAATAATGTGTATTTTATAGGAATTTTATTATCTTTAGTGGGAAATAGAGAGATCTTATCTCTTAGAAAATATCGGGCTGAGTTGGCAGAAATAGCTATCTTTTTTAGAACATTGTCTAAGTAAAGCATCTTGCAATTGCACTGTTAAATTCAGTTTCAATTTGGGTTGTGTGTGACAACTGGTACTAATTATATCCTTTCTACCTGCATTCCAGATTAATTTGTATGATTGCCAGTGTTGATAGGTCCATCCTGTTCTGCATGCGGCTTCTACTTTTTTCTGGAAGTATTTAGTTAGCTGGCAGTTTCTTGTATTTTCTTCTTTACTGCTTATTGTAATAGAAACAAAGACATATTTATGCTTTATAAACAAATATTAATGTTGTCTCACTTAAAAAAAATCAATCGAAAATAAATGTAACGCATCGTATTTACCGTTTTCTTATAACACTACTTTATGTATTCTGTTTATAGACTTTTTTCTTTTGAGTAATGTGCACTTATAGGCTTTCATTTATTAGGTTGTTTTACTTCATTATAGTTACTATTTTTTATTATAATAATTGTATTTTGATGTTAATAATGTCACAATTTGATTGGTAGACGTCTTAGTAAGAGGCTCCCTAGGATTTATAATGATTCACAAACATCATATCAGTGGGGTCTTGACTGATTTTTCTTTATGCAAGAGACAAGCAGATTAGTGAGATCATGCCTTCAGAGCCTAGTTCACACTGAGGTGATTCATGTGTGCTGCTGGGTCTTTGTGCTAACGCTTCTGGAAAAAAAGTTGATGTAAAAATGTTAAAGTAATTCTGTAAAGGAAATAGAAAGCGATGAGTGTAGTCTAATTATGAGTCATAGGAAAATATTAAAAATTAATTCAGCATATTTTTTCCTTTATCTAGGAAATAACTATGTAGATACTATAATATGTGGATCAGCCTGCCAAAAATCTTCCTGTGCTGATGGGAATGGGATATTTTGTTACTTTTCTTTATGAACGTAGAAGAGAGTTTTTGTTTGTTTCTAATCCATGGTTTTGGTTGTTTCTAATTGATGGAATTCAGTCAAAATCCTTATGCTTTATATTCAAAATTTATTTCCTAAATTGCCTTAATTTTCTTATCTTAGATCCCTTGAACTGTGTTGTGTCAAGGTTCGAAAAACTCTTTAACTTGAATATAAGTTTCTTTCATCATGATGGAGCACAATGGCAGCTCTGCTTGAGATACAAATAACCTGATCAAAATTTGTTTCTGCATCTCCTTAGAATGAGAGAATCTTGATTTATTTAAAGAGTTTATTCAGAGCCTCTTTCACATCCTTATTCCTCAGGCTGTAGATCATAGGATTCAACATGGGGAAAACCACCATGTAAAAGGTGGAAACTATTTTGTCCCTGTCCATGGAATAGCTAGATGGAGGGCGACAGTAGATGTAGAGTATGGAGCCGTAGTATAAGGTGACAGAAATCAAGTGGGAGGAGCAGGTAGAGTAGGCTTTGAGGTGGCCCTGAGTGGAGCGGATCCTCAAGATGGTGGTAATGATGAAGAGGTAGGAGGCGAGTATGAGTGCAGCGGGGGTGATAACATTGGAGCCCAGGAAGAAATACAGTAGAGTCTGGTAGCCATCTTTTCTGCCTCAAGCCAGCTTTACCAGAGGAAGTCAATGACAGAAGAAGTCATCAATGACATTGTCAGCACAGAAGTTCAAGGCAAAAGTTCTTTTGGTGATGACGGAGGAGTTAATAAATCCACCAAGATATGAGGCTGCTACCAAAAATGCACATAGCTTTATGGACATTGCCTGAGAATAAAGCAGTGGTTTTGAGATGGCCACATAGTGATCATAAGCCATGGCGGCCAACAAGTAACACTCACTATACGCCAGCCCAGCAGAGAAGAACTGAGCTACACAGCCACCAAAGGAGATGCTTTTGTCCTCAGAGATGCAGGTCACTACAATCTTCGGGGTGTAGACAGAGGAATACCAGAGATCCAGGAATGAAAGATTGCCAGTGAAAACATACATGGGCATGTGAAGCCGAGAGTCATTACAGATCAATGTTATGAGTGTGGTATTTCCCACCAGGGTCACAGAGTACACGCCAAGGAACACCATAAATAGAATCAACTGCATCACAGGGTCCGTTGTGAAGCCCACCAGGATGAACTCAGTCACGGTGTGATTGCTCTTGTCCATTGATATAATCTCACCTAAGAGGAGAGAAAATGATGGTTCAGCTTAAAGGGCTTTGCTGAGTAAATAGAAAATACGCTAAATAATTGACATCACATCCTCGGTAAATCTAGGATCCAACCAATGATGGTTAAGTGCTCGTGTTAGAAAGATTTTTTCAACTTGCAAGAATCATTCATTTTAAAATTAGGTATTCAAATTCCAAATTTCTAAAATCAGTTAATTATTTTTCCCCATTAGGAATGACTGTTAAACTAAATGAAAGACAGACTTATAATTCCTGTTGTGCAGTGGTCCTCTTCATAATTGTGTGGTTTTTTGGCTTAAAGTGTAGCTTGTTTGCATCTGAAACACTGGACTTAATACCTTTTTTAAAAACATTTTTAAACAGAATCAGATATTTTTCTTGTGGTGTTTACATATATTGGTGTTTACATATATTGACTACTATATAATTATATCTCCTAATGACATCTATAGGTATAAGAAAGGAGGATATTATAAGGGGAAAAAAAAGAGGTTAGAGCACATGAGCACATGGTAACATACAAAGTTTTTAGAAAAATATATACACAGAAAAATGATATATAATAATGGGATGATAAAGCACACAGGATCAACTGTATTTTATACATAGCCTATAATAAACATATAAAACAATACTTTAAAAAACTAATTTTAAATTTAAGCAAATTCATTGTCTAGTACTAAAATCTTACACATTTAAAATTTTTATTATTTTAATTTTTATTATTAAGGATCAATAATAAGGCAAAAAATAAATGTGTCTTGGACTATGACTACGAGACTCACGAGTCCATCTGACACAGAAATCTTCCTATCCTATTCAAGATTATCTGCGCAAAGAACTATAAATATTTAATGAAATGTGTACACAGGAATATGCATAGCAACTGTACATCTATAATCCACTAAGTAACAATTCTAGTAACACTAACTTCCTACCAATCAAAGTGATTTTGTAGTTAAATAAACATACATCCCAGTGAATATGATTGCTATGATTTGTATACCCATCCTTTTGGAACCTAGGAAAACATTCAGTCCATATCAGACTTTCAATATTAGTGTTAATAAATTGAGTCTTTTCTAAGTAAAATATAGAACAATAGAAGATTGTTCCAGTTAGGCTTTTTCTCCTATTACTCCCCTAAACATGACGTTATCAAGGTCCAAGGAACTCAAATGACTACAGCCAAAGCTCCGTCCTCATCTGCAGCATTTAACAGTTTATCACTCCTGCCAGCCCTGAACACTCTTTTCACTTGATTCCCAGGTCATCATACTTGACCGGTTTTTCTTCTGTTTCTCTGTTTGTTTGTTCTTGGTGTTACTGCCCCAACTTTGAACTTCTGAGTGCCCCCAGAATCGACCTTCGGAGGTCTTCTCTCTTCCATCCACAATCACTCCCTGTTGATCCTATCTGGTCTGATGACTTACAATACTTTCTATATGTGAATGAACCTTATTTTTAAATTCAGTGGCGCCTCTAGGGTTGCTGTCACTCAGCGCAGTAACTTCATGGTGTCACTCTCCCTCTCCGCACCCCCCCCTTGTACCTTCTCCAGTACCAGACCAAACAGAATCCGGACCAAGAAACCCCGCCCGTCCCCAGGCCCTGCCTCAGGGACCGCTGCGGAGCCCAGCAGAGCTCTGGAGCCCATGCCTGTGGGCTTTCCACGTCCTCCAGCCTCGCGCACCAACCTGCCGAGCGCAGCTCTCCAGCTCCCCCTCGCTGCCCACCCGCCCCGCGCCAGCAGCGTCCCTCCGGCCGTCAGTCCGCCAGGGATCCTTGCGCCCGGCCAAGCAGGAACGCGCGGCTGTGGCTGCCCGCGTCGCCGTCGCCTCCGCGCGCTGAGAGCCCAGGCCGCCCAGCGTACGGCAGCTAGTAGGGTCCGGCCCTCAAGCTCGTTGGGGTCTTGGCAGGGGACAGAGTGGGATACGGGCTGCCAACAATAGGAACTTTCCGTTGGCTCAGAACTCAGGAAGCAACAGTGAGAAATCATGGGAACTCGGCTCCCGCTCTCTCCGGACGGCCCCCGAGGGCACGCAGTGACTCTGCTGGGGGACCGCGGGGGACCGGAGCTGGGACGCCACCGCTGCGCCTGGCTCGCTGCAGCGTCCTCGCACTTGGATGGCAGCCCTGCAGCTCCAGACGCCCCACAGAGCCCTGCGCCGCCTCCAGCCACGATCCCCGAGAAGAGGTGGTGGCGGAACTCGGGCCGTGTTCCTCAGTTCCAGCCCAGGCAGAGCGCCCAGTGCCCCCGCTCGCCCGGGCGCCCGTTCGCCCCGACACCGCTGTCTGCCAGACCTGGCTCACTGTCCCGTCGGGTCCTTACCTGCCGCTCTCTGCACGACGCGCAGCTCCGTGCCCGGGAGTGAGGCGGCGCCTGCGGCCAGGGTCAAGCAGAGCGCAAGGGTGCGTGCAGGGGCGTTCACGGAGCGGTAGGGGCCGCTGCGTCCTCAGGTGGCGCGCGCGGGTTTGGTGCCCCCAAGGCCTGCAAGGGCAGGGCAGGAGGAAGGCTCGCTCCGGAGTCTGCACAAAAATTTTATAGATAGTCATTTTGGTGTCACTTCTCTGACAGTGTTACTCTGCACCTCCCTAGTGACGTCACTGTACATCTCCTGACCGTTTCTCTTCCAGAATTCCAGACTCACTCATGGATCCAAATGCCTACTTAATGTCTCTTACTGGATTTCCACTGGGCATCTCAAGCAAAACCGAGTTCTGGACAATCTTTCTCAAACCCATTTCTCTCTCAGTCTTCCCCACAACAGTAAATGCCACTATACCAAGTTAGGGGAAATCATTTAACGTCATTCTTGACTTCGCTCCATTTTTCACACCATATCTGAAAAATCAGCAAAACACCCCTTAGCTCTTCTCTCTCTGCATATATATATTCAGAACCTGGGGCGGCAGGCAGTGTTTCTTAGCTCCATTTTTTTTTTCCAGCCTAGACTAAGTCATTATTATCTCCAACTTGTATTATTAGAGAACCCTCCTAATGCTCTTCCTGCTTCCATTCTTACCCCACTTGACTCTATTCTCAACAGGGCAGCCAGAGAGTTTCTGTTAAAATGCCAGTTAGATCATTCTATTCCTCTGGTCCAAACTCTCCAGTGACTTCTCAACTTATTTAGAGTAAAATTCAAAGTCCTTACAAAGGTGGACACGCTCTACATGATCTGAACCTCCTTACTTCTCCACTCCTGACTCCTGCTAATCTTCTCTTCACTGTTTCCTCCATTCCTGGAATATAAGCAATATGTTCCGGGTCTTTGTAGTTGTTCTTTCCTGCGGTGGAAAGTCTTTCCCCCCAGGTATCTTCATAACTAGCTCCCTCACATTTTTTCAGGTGTTCCCTGACTACCATATTGCAGTCTACTTCCCTGACATTTCTTATATCTCTTTCCTAGTATTCTCCCTAGCACAGTTCATTATCTCATATTACATATATATATATCACTTATTTATTCAACCTATTTTCTTTCTCCTTCACTAAAATATGCTCTTTACCATCTGCTTTTTTCCACTTTTTTTAAAATTGTAAAAATGTAGATAACACATTTGCCAATTCAACATTTTCATGTGTACAATTTAGTGACACCAACTATATCAATCATGTCATGTAACGATCACTAATACCGTTGTCAAATTTTCCATCACCACGAGCAGGAACTCAATGCTTCCTAAGCAGTAACTTCCCCTTTCCTCCTCCATCTCACCCCTGGTACCCACTATTACACTCTGATTTGCCTATTCTAGATACATCTATCAGAACCCTGGTGGTGCAGCAGTTAAGAGCTTGGCTGCTAACCAAAAGGTCCGCAGTTCGAATCCACCAGCTGCTCCTTGTTTAATGTTTATCTCAGGTCGATTTGTAGGTTTATTATGAGATTGTGTGGGCTGCTTATTTTAAATAAATCACTTAATTAAAAATGAGAACAATTTTATGGTTGGACAAAATCTTTGAAAACATGGGATCCATAAGAACTGAAGGTTTTCTTGTGGAAAAAATCAAAAATGCCTGGAGTCAGTCTCAATCTTAATCCCTTCTGAGTTAATATTTTCTAATTCTCATAATGATCTCAGAATTTGATAATTTATAAAAATAAGATATAAATTTTGTGACTACTCTGAGCCAAGCACAGTACTTACTGCTTCACAAGCATCATATTTATTCCTCACAACATAAATCCTGGATAGGTTTACAGATTCATAGAAATCATTTTACAGATGACCAAACTGAGATTTAAGAAGTAGCTGTTAGTACAATTAGTAAGTGGTGTTGTCGTATTCCAGAGACCTGGCAGTTAACCACTCAGTCACCTCCTTTCATATTTCATTTTAGGTTAGTAAGTGCTAGTGGTCTCCATGGATCTCTCTCTTTTTGGTTACAATACTTTAACTTAAAACCAACAGGATATGCTAAGAGATGCAGATGTTGTCACAGGTAAGTACCTGATACATGTAGAGTCAGAAAATGTTTCCAAGCACTGCCCTTGAGTCTGTTCTCAACAGGGCAATGAGAATGTTCCTATTACAATGCCAATCTGCTGGTTGATTCCGGTGTCTCTTACATTTATAGCCAACCCTGACTATGAGCATAGAAACATTCAACTTCATTCCACCCAGGATCAGGCCACTTACCTGCAACTCTCATAGTTACAACCAATGAAGGCCAACACTGTGTTGTAGGAAACTTATACCATCTCTGGCTCCCCAGGGTATTTGATTCTTTAAGTACCTCAGGGGTTCATAACTTTGAAAGTGTTTGAAAAGGCAATTAAAAAAAATGTGATCACTTTATTTGGAGAATCTTGTTCCATGCAAAAAAAGAGAATGAAATAAAAAAATAATGATGATAATTGCAATATGTTAAGAACCTACTCTGTGCCAATGCCTTCCTGGGACTTTATTTACTTGTGAAATAATTCTAGGAAGTATGCATTTCAGTTCCCATTATAGTCTAGAGAATAGATCTAGAGCA